TTCAATAGATACTAACAATTCCACCCAGGACACCTCCCCCCTAGGCTACTCCTACCCAACCCAAACCATAACCCCCTGGGGTTGATTTGGGCGGGAGCGATGTTGTTGGGGCTGTTAAGAAGCTTGTTGAGTTGGATGGGTTGGATAGGTGAGGTGAGGTAGAATGGAATGGTGGTGGTGGTATTCTTCAGATAGACCTGAGGAAGATGTAATCGATACCCGACCAGCTGGTCGTTTGATGACATTTTAAGACATCCATAAGATTACCTATCTATGCAATGCACTCTCATTCTAACATCAGCAGGGTACTTAGTAGAGCCCTAGGCTGTGGTGGTGGCAAGGTGATAAATGAACAAGGGAAGCCGAGCTGAGCGACCTAATGTTCGTTCGAAATTCACAGCACATGACGTCATCGCAAACTCTAAACTCGTGAATGCATCAAACGTATATGAACACCGCAGCTCCCTTAACTTCTAACAACAAACGAAAGCGGTTCCCTTAGCCTAACGGATAAGGCGCTTGTTGTTAATACTTCTGGGTCTCGTGTTCGATTCCCTTCCAGGTAGGCCGGTTGACTTCTCATGTTAAAGTGCATAAGCAATTGGATCCCCTGGGAGTATTTGTGATACCTTTTTTTTGGCATTTTGCTTTTGGAAAGGTGCCGCACGCAGTAGTGTGAGGGCGTGTGTGACTTGAGATGATGTTTCTTTTTTTTCTATATTTCTGGTTTGGACACTTTTTCTCATTTGTAAACATGGCGGTTGTCTTGACACGCTACTTACTACCCTTCTACCAACAGAGCATTGGGCACAGCCGGAGCACGTTGCAACAGTGAAGTCGTCCCACCAATCCGTCCGCACCCAAGGCCTTCCTCCTTCACACCCAACCCACCAATCTATTTACCCACAGTCAAAAACAACCTATCGCCAATATCCCCCATCAAGAACGAACCTCCGACGTTGGCCCAGAGTACCGGAGTTACTATCGGGGTACCAGGATAGAACGAGAACCATTGCACGCCCAGTCGCGCGAGTGTGCCGAGGATAGAAAAGAAAATCAAATGAGATACGGTGTACAGAGTCGTCAACCATTCCGAAGGGCGAGATGGCAAAGGCGGCTTGCGCAATAAATCTTCCGCTCGCCGCGCAGTAAAAGGTGGTCCAGAGTCTGGCGATCGGATGGTATCACGCTCGAGATCCGATGGCTGGTTTGCCTGACGTTCGACGGAGACCAGATCGCGGCCATTGGGATTTGACGGTACCGGTGGTGGCATTTCATTCTCGGTCAGGTTCTTTTGGCCATTGCCATTGCTGTCGCGATGGACAGAACCACGTCGACTGAAATTGGGAACCCCGTTGCCATCTCCCTTGGAGGCGCGTTTTAACGCAGGAACCGGAGGTGCATCGTGTTCCCCCATGAGATTCCAGGAATCGGTATTTATGGTGCCGTGATAACTCGCGCGTTGAGGCTTGGCTCTTAGTGTGGACTGGCTGGTGGTGCTGTTGGAACGCGAGCGCTGTTGGTCGAAGTTGCTGTGCCGTCTGGGGATGGCGTTGTGCACCCAGACGCCCTCTTGAACGCCATTGTCGTGTGCATTGTACTCGACACTCCTTGCCTCTGCGCCAGAGAAGGACGGAGCTTCGCGTTGCATATCCAGCTCGGATCAAATGCAGGGCGGTAAGGCAGAGACAGGGTATATGTCCATGTGATATCGACCAGCATCAGCTGGAGAGCGAGACGTGCAAGACGTGGCGAATGGCGCCGGAAAGGGATGAATGACTATGGCATGATGTCCGTGTGCGTGTAGTGGTCTAACTACCCAACACTACCGACCGTTGGTATGTGACCGTTTGCCTTCCGAAAGGCAAAAAGTTGCGTGTGTGGCTGACGACCATGGCGAGGCCCAACTTCCACAAGGGATCGACGGATCTTCAGAAGGAAAGGAAACGGAACGATCCGGGGATCCATAATTTCACATCCGATCACGTGAGTCAGGTACAGTGGCTCCCGTCGTTCGATATGAGTAGACGACCGTAGCAACTCCAATCGGCGAGCTGCGAGTTGATGATCCCCTCGCAGACCCACTCGTATCTGGCAGCATGCAGCTTATCGGCCCAAACATTATTGCTACGTACTGCCGCATGCGATACCACCACGTAGCAACAAACCGACTGGCAATCACAGCACAGTATTAAACTTCCATTCATCTGTCACTGCTTTGACTGCTGTCAACTCTTGACTGAAGCTATACTACCTTGCCCATCAATTCCATCAATTCACAATCACCACCACTACATCACTTCTCCAACAATGGCCTCCTCTTCGTCACTCCCATCCAACGTCCACGTCTCAAACCACCCATGTCTGAAAGCAAAGCTCAGCCTTCTGCGTTCCCAATCAACCCACGCCAGAGATACCAAGCAGCTCGTGCATGAGATCGCCACCATCATCGGCTGTGAAGCTCTCGCTCATGGCCTTGAAGTAACCGAGACCGGCTCGGTAAGTCCTCTGCAGTACATGTAGATAGCACTCGCAAACGCCACATACCTCTATAACAACGCCACACGAAACCTGTCGACATTCAATAGATACTAACAATTCCACCCAGGACACCTCCCCCCTAGGCTACTCCTACCCAACCCAAACCATAACCCCCT